CTTTCTTTCTTTCTTTCTTTCTTTCTTTCTTTCTTTCTTTCTTTCTTGATTGTTAGATGGGTGAGTGGATGGATGGATGGATGGATGGATGGATGGATGGATGGATGGACGGACAGATGGATGGACAGATGGATGGACAGTTGGATGGGTGAACAGATGGGTGGTTCAATAATGATGATAGATTTGTAGAAGGGTAGATGTATTGATGGCTAGGTGGCTGGGTGGGTGGGTGGGTGATGTATGGTTGAGTGGGTGGAAAGATGGAGGGTAGATGGGTTGGTGAGGAGATGGGTGGATGGGTAAACAGAAAAATGGATGGATGAGTGAGAGGTCAACTTTATGATTATCATTCTGTGGCATTACTAAGTAGCTTAGCTTAGTTTTCTTAAACCTTAGATCTGTGCCTTAGGAATCGTGATTCAAATTCTACTAAAACCTAAGGGGTTTATTTGTTTGGTTTTGTTTTTCATTTTCCAGACAGAAATACTCTATGTAACCCAGGGTAAGGTCAGCTTCCTGAGTACTGAGATTATAGTGAATATTTGGCAGATCTTTCTTCTCTCAGTATTGGATTTACCAACTTTAGAAGGCGAGTGGATTTAAAAGAAAAACTCAATTTGAAGTAAAGATTTCTTATGCCTCGGAAATCTGAAAACAGAAACTTTTCTGTTTTCTGAGCCTGTCTGTCATTGTCAGCTTCTTGGAAATGGACACAGAATGAATCATCCCTCTTCTATGGATTTTAGATTTTACATTCTGAGGAGCAGAACCTCCCATGATTGACCCAATGGTGTGGACTAAGACAATGCTTACAGCTCTACCATGTGATAGCAGAGCCATCAAGCTTCCTACACAAGCACTCTGTATCATTTGTTCTGTTTTCCCAAACAAACTGTGGCTCTTGCCTCTACTAACAAGACTAGGAATTAAATTTGGCAGAGTTCATCCTATTCCTAAAAGAAAAAACAAAAACAAAAACAAAAACAAAAACAAAGGTACTACATTTATTTTATTGTGTGTGGAGAAGAGGGATCATGTCCCATAGCCCACGTGCAAAGGTCAGAGTTGAACTTCTAAGGGTTGGTTTGCTTCTTCCACCACATGTGTTCGAAGTATTGGACTCAGATTGTTAGGCTCCAAGGCAGGTGCCTTGAACTGCTGAGCCACGTCACCATCGCTACTTTTAAAAAGCCCTCCCTGCTTTTCCCACTCACCTTTTGTCCTTGAGAAGTCTATTTCTGAGCCACATAACAGAGGTGACTGGACAGTGTTCTTGATTCTCCTGGGGCTAAAACACAGCAAGCAAGAGAAAGTGCTGTGTTGCATACAGATGCCCTAGGCAGCTGTGCGCAAAGTATTAGCAGCTTCAGGGTCACCTGAGAACTTGGCGGAAGTGTCTGTTTTCCCATGGTGACCCACTAACCCAGTAGGCTGATGGAAGGCTTAGACAGCCCTCTGTAAACTGTACTCACAAGCATTTGCCTGCTGCCCTCTCAAGTTGGAGAGGCGTCACGCTGATGTGTCAGGACCCATATGCACACACACACACACACGTACTTCAGAAGGCAAACTCAGACGCTACCCACCTTGCCACTTTCTTTTGACACAGGCTCACTAACTGAGAACAGCTCACTGTGTAGGTTAGGCTGGCTAGCCAGGGAGCCCGGGGGATCTTCCTGTCTCTGTCCCTCTGGCACTAGGATCATCGGCACGTCCAGCCATGCCTGGCTTTTGATGT